CTTCCTACCGCATCGCTGCAAGGAGAATGCCAGTGCAAATGGATGGATCATGATGTAGAGGTCCGGCGCGCGGGCTGCTTCGGTTTAGCTCGCTTGCGCGATCGCGCCGACGCCTCTGCCAGTGCGGGGCGGGCTGGCACGCGAGCCTCTTCAGCGGGGCCGATGGAAGACGGGCCCGAGAGGCTCGGACGTCAGCGCCTCGAGGAAATCGAATCCCGCTGGCAGCGCGAGGAGGGCCCCTGCAACGCGCGACAGCGCGTGCCCGCGGTCCAATCGGCCGCCCAGGACTGGGGGCGCAAGTTGGAATTGCGGGCCTTGGAATCGGGGGAGTTGGTCGATCGGCGCCCTCTCCTGCATCGGGCCGTGGACGCGTCGCGAAGTCTTCAATCTGAGGATATTCTGAGTACTGCACGCGCGGGGTTCTGCCAGGGACTTCAGGGGAGAGCGAGGAAACGCTCTCCTGGGCAGGACCTCGCGGAGGTAGGTCGCAATCAGAACTCGGGCAATCAGGACCTTGCATTCGTTGTGTCCGGGGCGGGCGCGGTGGCCCATGCCCAGGGGGCCGCGAATGCAACGGGTTGCCTTCCCCGCCCCGCGCGGCGCGCATGCGGGGTCGTACGGGGCCCATCTGTAGCTGCGCTGTGGAATTCATCCGCCGCCACGCGGCTGCGGCGGCGGCGCCTGCCCCCTCGGGGCCTGCTGTTGATTTGAACGAACGCCGTGGTGAGATGAGCGAATCCGTTCAATTTGCTGCGTTCAAAACACCGCCCTGCATTCGAACGAAGCATGCGTCTGCTCGCAGTAACAGCACGTCGAGCTAGACCATGCAGTTGCAAAGCACTGCAGGAGAGTAATGACAAGGTGCTGCCCTCGAACAGCGCGAAACAGCTTACGGCATTTAAACATCGGTCTCTCAGCGCGGTACAAGTTCTGGGGCATTGGGCGCATGGCCCCCGCGAGCCTCGAGACGCGGGCGCGGCGCGCGCGCGGGCTGCGACCGGTCGTCGCCTGTCAATCAGCGGGGAAATGGCAAGATCATCGCCCCCCTTGCTCGGTCGCTTCCCGCTGGAGGCGACGGACCACAGTTGCTCGCGAGACTTGGTCCGACGCGAACACGTGGGCCCATCTGTTTCGAGATGGCGCGCGCGAAGGGGTCTACGGATTAAACGATCAGAGTGGGTTCTCGGGGAGGCGCGCACGGTTGGGGCGAGCGCAGATTTCCACAGACAAAGCATGCAACGCGAGTTCCCGGCGCAAGATTTGAAACAGTTGCGACGAGGGGTTCGTGCGTCAGCGGTTCCGCCGCCAGGATGCAGGCTGGAGAGTTTACCAACGCAGCCAATAGCTACAGCCAGTATACACTGGTGGGGGAGGATGGAGACGCGGGCCCAGATGGGAAGATGGGGGGGGCGCATGGCCAGCCCTGACGCGCGCAAGGGGGTCGCGCAGCATCGCGCGGCGCAGCGCGGGCAGCGAGACGCGTGGGCGCGAGCTGCCATAACCGACGTTTGCCCTTTTGCGTTTGACGGCCTTCAGTCGTGTCAGGACGGCCCAGCGTCATTCACTTTCGAGCGTCGCCAGAGGTGGCCGATGCGTTGAGCGGTCTCGCTTTATTTTTTGGGGCACCCAGATAGAATTGCCCGCCATCGCCATTTCTGCGACCATCGGGCCCAAACCATCTCCGATAACACGGGCCCCATTTCGCGATGCTGCGTCTCGCGCAGAGATGCGCCCGACCCATCGCGAGAGATATCAGCGCAGCGGCGATGTCTCTTTCCTCCGCTCCGAGCCGGGGATTGAAGAGGCGCGGGGGCGCCTTCGCCGCGGGCCAGCCGCCCGCCGGGGGCCCGGGGACGTCAGCACGGTTTCGAAGTTACTCATAGTGCATGCCAAGTCGTCGCTCACCAACGTCTCCGAAATTCGAGAGAGCACAGGGGTGCTGTAGAATGACATCTTGATCGACGCCGGGGGCGTCGTCGCAGTCAAACTATTCGAGCAATGACGCATCTACCACAATGCCACGATGAACGCCGAGAACGGCCCAACCGCTCGAGAGGCCCCTGGGCCACCCTGCGCGCGCATCTGCGCAGGGCTCCTGCAGGGCACTGGCAAGCGCGCGAACCTGGAAGAAACCGCGAAGGAGCCGCTCGTGCAGTTATGGGCGACGGAGGCACAGAAGGAGGGCAAGACGCCGCCCCTTCCTCTTTGCAAGGGGGCGCGCTGCAAGCGCATGCCCGCGAGGCCGAAGGACGGCGAGCCAAGGCTCTCGAATATCACGGTCGCGATGAGCAGGGAGCACAGCGAGCTGCAGCAGATCTTGGCCAAGTCGCTAACGATGAAAGGAGGGGTGCTCAAGCGCGGCCCCGCGCCGCGGGGGCCACTAGAGCGGGCCGCCCAATCATTCTTAGAGGAGGTCGAGGTTACTTAATCGACGGGCAGCGAGGGCAAGGGCGGCAGGAAGGGCTAGATGGAATTCCAGCAGGAGTTTGGTTGACAGCCATACAGCGCGTGCACATTGGGCATTTCCCTCATCGGCTATTGGAGCTGGTGAAGGGAGGACAGTGGTGACACTTGACGCGGCGATGAGGCATCCTGGCGTTGCTTCTGCCAGCTTTGTTTTGCAGCCCCCTGTTAGGAGGCAGAGGGGTAGAGTGACCGACCAGAGAGGAGTCGAGGACGTCGTCGAGCCCGTCGATGTCGTCGCTGGGTCGGTCGTTGGTTGTGAAGGCTGGAGTCACCCCCCATCGAGAGTTCCCAAGGCACCTGCCCAGAGGCGGGGGAGGAGGGGCTAGAGAGCGATTTGTGTAGGGCGACTTACTTTCAAGAGGTGTGGAGTTGGTTGTCCTACCAACGCCGACTTCCGACCCTGGAATGCGGGGCTGCGCTTTTGCACCTGTCAGTTTCTGGGCCAGGAGCGACGGAGGCGAGAGTCACCAGGCGCTCATGGCAGATTTCTTCTGTGTTTGTGGTGGTGGGGGGGGCTTATCAGCTAAGTTAGCGCACGACAATGCCCCAGACAGCCCGAGCAGAGTTATTGTTTGCACGATGGCCCCACAAGTACCTTGGCAGGTCCTCAGGGCGGAGACAGGCCTCAATGATAAGTTGTTATAAACCGGCGAACCCGCCAAGCGGCACCCAGGCGCCACACGCAAATCAGACGAACCTAGTGCCCCCGGAGCTCGATCCGATCTGATCCTCCCTCCTCCCTCATTCCTCCTCCCTCCTCCTTCTTATTCCTCCTCCTCGTTCTCCTCCCTCCTCCGCCCTCCCCGGATGGACCGACCTGGGTACCGATGCTCTTCCCTCGTTTCCGCTTTGGGGTGTCCTGGGGGGCCCTGAGATCCAGGCGTCGCAATTTCACGTCGGGCGTCTTCGCCCCGTTTCGAGCATTGGCGCCCCCACAGATCGGCCCGGATGGCGAAGGGCCGCAGGAAGCCGGGGTTGCACCGCCATGGGCTGTATTTTTCGCGGTTTTGCAATGTCTGTCGCCACGCCGGATCTCAGGGGCCCTCGTCGCCACGGCCGGCTTCGCCTCAGAGTCCTGGCCATCACGCGCAGATCGATCCGGGCCGAGACGTGCCGCAGCAAGTTTTGGTATAGTGCTCCGGGCCTGAGTTCTCACTGCTCACAGTCTCATGTTTTTGTTGTTGGGCTCGCCCCGGGGTCTTGTGTCAGAATGCGCTCCTGGAGAGGCCCACAGAGAATCGGCGTCGGTATTTTTCATGGTTTCGGCAAGGCGCTCGCCATGAAGTGAGGGGCGGTCCAGGAGCCGGAGGCTCCTCGCCGTTTCGGGACCCTTGGGCCGCTAGAGAGCTGGTCGGGAAGGACTCTGGTCCTGAGAATTCGCCGTTTTCGGGCACTCCCCGGGGTCCTCCCGGAGACGCCAAGGCCCGTTTCTCGCCAGGACGCCGTTTTTGCGGCGGCGCCGCGTCGGCGGCGGCGACGACGACAACGACGACAACGACCCCTCGTGCCGAAAGGTCGCCTGGGAAGTCATGCAGGCGGCGGCGGTGGCGGCGGCGACGGCGGCGACGGCGATGACGACGACGACGATTACAACGACTAACCAACCGCTCTGCGGTTGATCGGGAGTTTCGGCGAATCGGAATGAAAACGAGCGTGAGGATCGGGAGGGCGAGGCTCGCGAGCGGGAGGATCAGGAGAGTGAGGGTCATGTGGGTGAGGATCAGGCAAGCGTGGAGCAGGAGGGTGAGGATGTGGAGAAGGAGGGCCAGGAGAGCGAGGATGACGAGAATGAAAATCAGGAGGATGAGGATCGGGTGGGCGTGGCGCCCCCCGCTGCCATGGTGGCATCCTCCTCCTCCTCCTTCTCTTCCTCCCCTGCCTCCTCCAACTCCCCCTGTCCTCCTCCACCTCGTCCTCCTCCTCCCTCTCCTCCTTTTCCTCCTCGTCCCCCCTCCTCCTCTCCCCCAGCAAATTCCGGGATCTCGCCTGAAACGGAACAGGGGAGGATTGAGGGCTTCCTTGCACCCATGGGGAGGCTCAGACCAGTTTTTCTGAGGATGTCCCACGCGAGGCGCCCGTTTGGAATTCGTCGCCAGATTTCCCGGATCTCGCCGGAAACAGAACAGGCCTCTGAGGCCTCCTTGGGGAGGCTCCGGGGGCGTTTTTTTTGGTGAGAATGTCCCACACGAGGGCGCCGTTTGGAATTCGTCGCCGGATTTCCCGGATCTCGCCGGAAACGGATTAGGGGGTCCTCTGAGGCCTCCTCGGAGAGGCTCTGGGGGCGTTTTTTTTCTGAGGATGTCCCACGCGAGGGCGCCAGATCACGATTCTCCCGGCGCGCCCGGTTCAGCCCGGCGTGCCCGGTTCAGCACCAGAAATGGGTCTTGGCGGCGCGTTGGGAGGCGTACGTTCTCGCGCGCCGGGTGTCAAGAGGACGTGAGTTCCACAGAAACTCCTTCAAACGACGATGACGACGACGACGACGACGACGACGACGACGACGACGACGACGACCCCTTGTGCCGAAAGGTTGCCCGGGAGGTCATGCAGGCGCTGCTGGACCACGCGGCCTGCGCCGAGGGCCTCGAGGACGGGACCACTTGGCCAGAGGCGTCTTTGCCTTCGTCGGGGTCGAAGCCGGGGTCGAAGCCCAGCTCGTCGGGGTCGAAGCCCAGCTCGTCGCCGTCAGATTCGGACTGGGGTCGTCGTGGCCCTCGTCGACGGAGTGGGAGTGGCCGTCGAGAGCACTCCTCCCCCCATCTCTTCGCACTCCTCCCCTTCTCCCCCACACAAACTCGCACCCCCCCCCACCCCACTCCTATCCTCCGCCCTCCGCCGTCCTTGGCGCTTCCCCTCATTCCCCCCCCTCCTTCCCCCCTCCTCTCCACTCCCCCTCGACCACCTCCTCCTCCCTATACTCCCCACGCCACTCCGCTCCGCCAGGCTTCTCTCTCTCGACTCCTCCCCGCGCGCCCATCACTGCGCGGCCCCCGCCCCATCCTCTGCAGCCTCCTGTGACTTCGCCCAGCCCTTCGCGCGCCTGCCGACTCCTTCGCGCGCCTCCCCGCTCCTCCGCCTTCGGCTCCCCGCGGCCCCCGGGCGCTCGTCCGGCCCCGTGCGCTGCCGCTACTGGCGACGAGCGCGCCCTTGCGCAGGTCGCTCGGCTTGCCCATCGGCGCTCAGGCTTCCCCTGCCTCCTTCTCCTGGTCCTCCTCCCTGTTTCTCTTCATACCCCCTTTTCGCCTGCTTTCCCCAGTCCTTTTCTTCCTCTTCCTCCTCTTCCTCCTCCCTCCTCCCTCCTCCTCCTCCTCCTCCTCCTCCTCCTCCTCCTCCTCCTCCTCCTCCTCCTCCTCCTCCTCCTCCTCATCCTCCTCTCCCCAGGCTTCCCTGCTTCGCCCTCCGGGCTCCCGAGGTCTTGCGCCCATTGGCCCCCCCGCCCGAGCACGGCGCGCCGCCCCAGCATATGCAGCTGCTGCGCGGCGGCGGCGAGGCAAGAGGCCCCCCCCGAGAGGCAGACGAGGGCTTTCGGGTTCGCCTCCCGTTCGTTTCGGGCTTCTGGGGGCTACTACGACTACTACTACTACTACTACTACTACTACTTAACTACTACTACTACTACTACTACTACTACTACTACTACTACTACTACTAACTACTACTACTACTACTACTACTACTAACTACTACTACTACTACTACTACTACTACTACTACTACTACTACTACTACTACTACTACTACTACTACTACTACTACTACTACTACTACTACTACTACTACTACTACTACTACTACTACTACTACTACTACTACTACTACTACTACGACTACGACTACGACTACGACTACGACTACTACTACGACTACGACTACGACTACGACTACTACTACGACTACTACGGCTCCTTCTGCTCCGTTCCAGCGGGTCGTGCCTCGACCCCCCGAGGACTGCGCGGGGAAGCTGCAGGCCGCCCTGGCGGGCGACGCCGTCCCCGCCAGCGAGGCGCTCCTGGCGCTGTTGACGGCGCTGAGCGAGCTGGCGTTCGGCCCCCGCGTGTCCTTCCTGGAGGCCCTCTACACCGGCCAGCAGGAGCGCATCGACTGCCTCCTCGACAAGGCCCAGCCGTTCCTGGCCATGCTGCCGCCCATGCCCGCGGAGCACGGCGCGCACATCTGCGACGGCTGCGACCAGGGGCCCCTCCGCGGGCCCCGCTTCTCCTGCAAGAGCATCGGCGACTTCGACCTCTGCGCCCGCTGCTTCGCGGACAGGGACTCCATCTGCGGCGGCAGGTGCGCGGGCCACGAGTTCGAGACGATCGCGGGCACCGCCTGCGGAAAGGGCCATGGCAAGGGCAAGGGCAAGGGCAAGCACAAGGGCGGCCACGCCGCGGAGGGCGCCGAGGGCGCCGGCGTCGGCCCGCAGCAGTCGGGGCCCAGCACTCTCAGGGCGAGGGAGGGTGCGGACGAGACCATCACCATACCGAGCGGCTTCTCCGTGGTCGCCGCATTCTACGGGGACGCGTCGCGCGGCAAGGGGCGCGACGTCACCGACATCGTGAAGAGCTGCGAAGCCAGCGGGCAAGTCCTTCGTGCATCCAACGAGCTCTTCGGGGACCCCGTCTTCGGCACGGAGAAGACCCTCTTCGTAGACGTCGAGGCGTCTGCAGTGACAAGCTCCACGGACTGCGACAGCCAGATGCCCGCAGATGGCGACAGCCAGGCGACCACGGACAAGGGCAAGGGCAAGGGCAAGTGCAAGGGCAAGGACAAGAGCAAGTGCGAGGGCACCGGCGTCGCCTGCGCCAACCCAGGTTGCGGCTTCCGGGTGACTTGGCACGCGACCCACTGCTGCCACATGTGCAAGAGCTCCGACGGCAAGGGGCACGGGCACAGGTGCAACAAGGCGCCCGTGCCAGACGCCAGGGAGGAAGGAGGAGGAGGAGGAGGAGGAGGAGGAGCGGAAGGAGGAGGACACAGTCGATCCTCTTTCCCCGTCCCCGCCCAGAGGCAGCTTCTTCCAACAGCCTTCTCGCTCGCGCGTCCTCGGTCGTCCCTCTCGTCCTCCGTCTCCTGCCTCCGCCTCTGCTTTGGCCCTCGGTCGTCGTGCGTCCCTCTCTGCTTTCGTGCGCCTCCTCCTCCATCCACTGCGCCGCGGCTTCTCAGCCATCCGTCCCCCCCGTGCGCCCTGCGCACCCCGGAGCCGTCCTGCGGGACGGCTTGTTGGCAGCGCCTCGCTCGGCCTCGCCTCCGTCGGTCCCCGACCCTCCCCGCCCATCTCCTCCTCGCGCGGGAGCCCGCGCGCGCGCGGGACGACCAGGAGGGGGAGGGGAAGGGGCAGAGTGAGGAGGGGGAGGAGGAGAAGGAGGAGGAGGGGTGGGAGGGAGGAGGGCGAGGAGGAGGACGAGGACGAGGAGGAGGAGGAGGAGGCGGAGGAGGAGGAGGAGGAGGAAGAGAAACAAAGACGAGGAGGAGGAGGAAGGAGGGCGATGAGGAGGAGAGCAAGGTGCCCGTGGCAGACACCGAGGCCACGTCCAAGGAGCCCCCAGCGCCCGGCGCTGCCCCGGCCAGCTCCGCGGGCCGCGACGGCCGGGCCGAGCTGCATGGGGCACCCGCCCTGGACGGCTCGACGGAGGGCGACAGCCCGGCGGGCACGGCGCAGGGCACGGACAAGGGCAAGGGCAAGGGCAAGGGCAAGGGCAAAGGCACCGGAGTACGGTAGGTTTGCGTCGTGTCGACCAGCGGCGACCCCAGCGCGGGCGTTCAAGGTTGAACGCCGCCGGCGGCCCAGAATCGATCGATGTTGAACGATCGGACGTTGCGGCAGCGGCCGATCGTTCAAGGTTGAGCGATCCCCGCGGTGTCAGAAACCAACGCCGAAGTCGGCACGACACGAACCTGCCGTACAAAAACTCACCGAGAGCGTCGCACTGCTCGCCAGAAGTGCGCACTCGCAGAGGCTCCCAGAAGCGGGCGTCTGCCTCGACGTGGTGGATCGCGGGTTTCCCTCGGCGGATCCAGGCCATGTGCGAGCAGCTACTCTGCGAGTGGTGGAGCGCGCTTGTCTAGAAACGGCATAAACGTAAACTTGCGAAGCTCCGCGCGGATTCCTTGGATCGGCTCTGGGCCCCCCTGGCGGCGCCTCCGGCGCCGCCCCTGGCGCGCTCCGCGCGACGGGCAGGGGCTCCAGCGCCGGTCCGAGACATCCGCGTGGACCTCGGGAAGTTTCTGTTTGTGCAGCCTTATTTCTTCGATCGATGATCCTCAGGACGTGTGTTAGCCCAATGTGTGTATTACCCCCTTCGGCCCAACCAGTAGATCATTTCATCGCCTGCGTCGTATCGAAGGGCCTCGGTGGACAAACACACGTTGGGGCTAACACACGTTCTGAGGATCATCGATTCTAAGGCAAGGAAGGCAAGGACAAGAGGAAGTGCGAGGGCACCAGCGTGGCCTGCGCTTGTGGCTGCGGCTTCCAGGTGACCTGGCACAAAACCCACTGCTGCGGCATGTGCAAGCAGACCGACGGCAAGACGCACGGGCCGAAGTGCAGCCAGGTGCCCCTGGAGGCTTACGGAGGCCCCCAGAGGCTTCCGGAGGGCTCTAGCCTCCGAGTATCCTGGGAGGCTCGGGTTGACCCAAAAGGGGTCCAGCGACAAGGGGGTGGTGCACTAGATTTGGTGCACTGGATTTGTGGGGGTTGCAATGCATGTGGGGCGTGCAGTACATTCCAGGGCGCAAGTGTATTGTTGGACTCGCGTGCAATTCATGACTTGCGGTGCTATGCAATACCACTCTCTGGCGCAAGACGCTTGCAAAACAGTCGCCCCAAATCTATTGCGCCACCCCCTTTTCAGCAGTGGACCCCCTCATGGGTCACCCAAAGCGGCTCCTGGAGGCAAAGAAGCAGCCGACACCTGCGGGGCCCCAGGTGGGGCCCAGCCCTAGGCGGCATTGGTGGGCCAGTCCTGCTGGAGGCCGGCCTCTCCTCCATTCCGGGGCTGCCCGTCCCGACTGTGCTCTGTCCCGGCCCTCCGGCCCCCCGCCCTCGCCCACGAGTGCTAGGAGGCGCCTCTCTCTCTCTCTCTCTTTCTCTCTCTTTCGCTCTCCCTCGTTGTCTCCTCTCTCTTTCGCTCTTTCTCTCTCTCTCTCTTTCTCTCTCTCTCTCTCTTTTTCTCTCTCTCTCTCTCTCTCTCTCTCTTCCGCTCTCCCTCTCTCCGTCTCCTGCCGCCGCAATAGTGTGCCATCGCACGAGCTCCACGGCGAGCTCCGCCCTGCCCGTGTGGGCCTGAGCCGGTCCCTCCCCGCGGGCTGCGGCCCGATCTCTTCCCTGCCTCCCGCGCCGCGTCCCGGGGGGGGGGGGGAGGATGGAGCCTCCAGAGTTTCGGGGGCCCCCCAACGGTGTGGTGACCATGCCGTGTGGTGAGTCGGTGGGGATTCGGGGTCACCGCACGGCTTTGGGACTCGAGTCCCTCTCCGAGGATGTCTCGGGCGACAGGGGCCTCCAGGGTCCCAAAACCGTGCGGTGACGGACCGTGCGGTGAGGTCTTGGGGGATTTCGAGGTCACCGCACGGTCTGGCACTGCACCGCTTCGGAACTCCAAGCAAATTGGTGGGAGGCGAAGATTGGTATAACATAAACTGTTCCGCCGTCGGGGATGCCTGCCCCCCGAGGCGGCTGCAAAGCGCCCACGTAGGGGCATCGATTTTCGGGCCGGGCCTGGACCTAAACGCTTTTGTTGCTGGGCCTCGGCTGTGTTTTGCTCTTCGTTTTGGCAAACAGGTGCAGCAAGACAGGTAGAGCAAAACGGAAAACAAAACGAACAGCACAACAACGTGTAGGTCCAGCCCGGTTTCCAGCTGCCCTGGGGGCAGGCGTCCGCGGCGGCTGAAAAGTTTATGCAGCACCCCGCGACTGCGGACAAGAGGAAGGGCACGGGGCCAGAGTGGGTCGCGGGGCGGGTCGCGGGCCAGTCGTGTGTGCGTCGCGGGGTGGGTCGCGCGGGGGTCGCGCGTGGGTTGCGGGTTGGTCAAGGGGTTGATCACGGGGCGGGTCGCGCGTGGGTCGCGGGTGGATCAAGGGATGGGTTGCGGATGGGTCGCGGGTGGGTCAAGAGGTGAGTCGCGAATGGGGCGAGGGCGGGATGATGGCAACACAACAACAACAGCATTAACAACAACAACAACAACAACAATTACTAGCACGTGGGGACGCACCGTTCTCACCAGTGCCAGGGTTTTCATAGGAGGCGGGCAATACCCCCACTTTGTGGGGGGGCCGGTTCAAGCTCTACCAAATTTCCAAACGACTCTTCGCCACCACCCACACCCAGCTTCCCGCCCTATGACGTTCGGACACTTCACTTCGTGGCATGCGGACGACCGTGGCTACTATTCAGGGCCCCGCGGCCGACGACGACGGCGTGCGCGCGCGAAGAAAAAACGAATGTGTCCCGCATGGTATTATTTGACAGGGATGATGGCCCTGGCAGGTGCGCAACCGTTGTTGCAGAAGTTCGAAAAAGTTGCTCGCAAAAGCCCGTTTGACAGAAATGTTTAAAAAGTGTTGGGTTTCCTACGAATCCGCAAGAGCGCGCGGGATGAAATTTTGACATTTTTTTTTGAAAAACCATTGGTTTTTTATGTTTTTATGTTAAAATCGCTACGAACACTAAGGTTTTGGAAGGATTTCGTCTTGCGCGCGCGAATGTCCACTTTACCTTATTTTTTGCAAGGGATTCTTGAAGTTTGGTTATGTTAGAACAAGAAATGTCCACTTTATTATTTTTTGCAAGGGAAAACGGGGGACAACAAAACAACCGGATCCGGACACCCACGTTTTGCCTGAGACTTCCTCACGAAAATGATGAAAATGTGGCTGCGGCCTAGGCGCGGCGAGGGGGCCGCGCACCGGGGGCCCCAACAATAATTATTTTTTAGAATACATAATGTTCAACAACAACAACAACAGCAACAACAGCAACAGCAACAGCAGCAACAACAACAGAAACGGCAACAGCATCAGCAACATCAGCAACATTAACAATAACCACAACCACAACCACAACCGCAACCACAGCAACAATAACAGCAACACCAACAACAATAGCAGCAATCTTTTCAAGACTTCACTCCTATCTTCTCACGTGCCATCCAGCACATCTATCCCAAACCCTCGATACTCGCCCTCGCCGTCTTCGATCGTACCCCCTTGGGGGACATATCTTTCTCACCTGCCACGCGCATTCAGTGCAGCCCCTAAAACAGGGGAAGAGACGACGGATGGAAGGGGGAGGGAAAAACATTGAACACGAGATGAATTAGCAGGATGGGGGCAAGGAACAGAAAACAAGTGATTGAACCACACGGGCAGATCGGGTTTGCAGACCCATAGCGGGCGGGTCGGGAAGGCGGGCCCAGGCGACCAGGTCGAGCAGGCGGGTTGTTGAAGCGTGGGTCCTGCATGAATCGCGAGGAAGTCTCGAGCGATGGCGCGATTCCCAATTAAATCTTGAGATGGACCAAAGCGAGAGCGCGATTCCTGAGCGCCGAGGGCGCATCGTCTGAATAAGTTGCGAGGAAGTCCCACGCAAGAGCGCGAATCCGACATACATTGTGAAGAACTCCCGCACGAGAGCGCGATTCTTCAAAAAATCGCGAGGCACCATCAGGTGGGAACCGCTGTTGTTGTAGACCAGAGGTCAGCAACCCACTTCTGAGACCCTTCCCTGATAAGGAAGAAGGTGCGAGCCCTGGGAGGGGCACTTCAATTGAAAAACACGATGTGCCCCGGAGGGGGGATCAGCAATAATTATTCTTCAGAAGTGAGCATCAAACCATTTTGACATTGGTCGTGTTTACCTGTCCTCTTGTTCTTCGATCGTACCCCCGCTGGGGGTATATCTTCCCTTTCTGCCGAGTGTAGTTGGCGCAGCCTCTAAAACAGGTGAAGAGACGACGGGTGGAAGGGGGAGGGAGAAAGATGGAGCACGAGAGGAATCAGCACGGGGGGGTCAGGAACAGAAAACAGGTGGTAGAACCAGACGGGCTGATCGGGTTTGCAGACCCATAGCGGGCGGGTCGGGAAGGCGGGCCCAGGCGGCCAGGTCGAGCAGGCGAATTGCTGAAGCGTAAGTACTGCGCGAATCGCTAGGAGGTCTCAACCGATAGCGCGATTCCCAAGTGAGTCATGCGAAGGATCAGAGCGAGAGCGTGATTCGTGAGTGTCGAGGGCGCTGCGTCTGCATAAATTGAACCATCCAACGCTGGAGGGCGATTCCTGCATGCATTGTGAGGAAACCCCGCGCGAAAGTGCGCATTTGAAATTAATTGTGAGGGAGTAACAGGCGGGAACCGCTGTTGTTATGAACCGGGGGCCACGGGCTTAGCTTGGTGGCACCACGCTTTCCCTTGTAAACAGATGCGTGCGAGCCCCGGGAAAAACATTGCAAACATATAGAATGTGTTCCGGAAGGGGGGGCAACATACATTTTTTATACAAAAGCGACAACAACACCGACAGCAACAACAACAACAACAATTACTAGCATGTGGGGACACTCCGTTCTCACCAGTGCCAGGGTTTTCATACGACGCCCGCCAATACCCCCACTTTGTGGGGGGGCCGGTTCAAGCTCTACCACATTTCCAAACGACTCTTCGCCACCACCCACACCCAGCTTCCCGCCCTATGACGTTCGGACACTTCACTTCGTGGCCTGCGGACGACCGTGGCTACTACACTGGCGCATGGGTACAGTGACTTGTTGTGGTAACATTTTCTGGACGCTAGCTTAGTATACGACTTTTCCCCCTGTTCCAACAGGAACCGTATGATTTTATGTTGCGCGGTGCTAAAATTCCTAAGAAACCCAATGGTTTTTGAAGATTTCGGCGTGCGCGCGCGAAGAAAAAACGAATGTGTCCCGCATGGTATTATTTGACAGGGATGATGGCCCTGGCAGGTGCGCAACCGTTGTTGGAGAAGTTCGAAGCACGTGAAAAAGTTGCTCGCGAAAGCCCGTTTGACAGAAATGTTTAAAAAGTGTTGGATTTCCTACAAATCCGCAGGAGCGCGCGGGATGAAATTTTGACACTTTTTTTTTTTTTTTTTTTTTGAAAAACAATTGGTTTTTGATGTTTTTATGTTAAAATCGCTACGAACACTAAGGTTTTGGAAGGATTTCGTCTTGCGCGCGCGAATGTCCACTTTACTTTTATTTTTTTTGCAAGGGATTCTTGTAGTTTGGTTATGTTAGAACAAGAAATGTCCACTTTGCCTAATTTTTTGCAAGGGAAAACCGCCCGTAACAAAACAACCGGATCCGGACCAACCCGTTTCGCCAGAGACTTCCTCACGAAAGTGATGAAAACATGGCTGCGGCCTAGGCGCGGCGAGGGGGCCGTGCACCAGGGGCCCCAACAATAATTATTCTTTAGAAGTAATAATGTTCAATGACAGCATTAATCATAGCAGCAACCACAACCACCACAACAACAAGCAGTTGAAGAGATTTCGGTCTTACTTGCCAGCGTGTCTTTCATTTGTATACCACAA